CCCCCCCCCCCCCCCTACAACTAGAAACCTTGACAATTTTTTTCCTTTATTCACGTCTCTTCTTTATCCTTCATCTCTATCACACTCAAGCATTCATTTATTATCCCCCCTTTTATTTTTCTTTCACGTTTTATGCCGCTCACTCAATGTTATACGTGGTTTAATCCGTTTCTCTTTCACTCGCACGACCCTGCGCACCTCCTTTGTTCCCTCTACCCACTGTACAAACGGAATTTTGTACAATGTTCCTCTTTTATTTCATAATAAAATTGTTATTTTTCATTTTTTTTTTCAGGAAGACCTGGGTTCTCCTCGATTCGTTTCCTCATCTACTGTCACCATTCTCCCGTGAAAATTTACTCGAGCGTTTCGTGATTTCTTTTTCTGTGAATGCCTTCCCACCCAACTTGAGTCGGTGTTTCCATTAACTTCTCGGCGCAACAGTTTGTACTGTCTATGGAAAATTACAATGATATTTCGTTCTTTGACTTTTCATTCGTCTTTTTAGTGTTAAAGCTTAAATTGCTCTCTGTTGGTTTTTATCTGGTACTCCTGGCCAACCAACGACCTCATATATCTCGTCTCTGCTCAATTTCACTACCTCTCTCTCTCTCTCTCTCTCTCTCTCTCTCTCTCGCTTCGTGTGACGCCGATACCACCTCCTTCCCTATTCTCTCGGAGATCCTTCTCCACCTTTCTCTCTCTTTCTTTCTTCCCCCGCTGATGAAAGCACCGTTTCAGCTCTGGTTAACCGGTCACGTATGCTCGGTCTGAAAATGAAAAGTGCACGTTTTAACATGCGCTGGACTATAACAATTCTACCATGTTTATTTTATTACAAATGACAACAATATTAATGCAAACACTAAATATTCGCTTGTATATTAATCATCTCAACGTCTATTTCGAGTATTCCCAAATGTAATTAAAGTTAGCACGCTGGTTCGATCGATAGTCCCCTCGTGCGAATTACATTCCACACAGTGGCACGCGTTTTAAACGCTCCTCGTGTCGGCCCTTCCTCGCCTCCCCCAACTCCCCAACATAATCATTCGCATTTCTACGCTTTTGTGTCGTAAGGACTCCAAAGGACTCCTCTCCCCTCTGTCCTTATTTCGCGATGATAATCGAGATACTCTGGATGTGAATTAAAACATTAAAAACGTAATGGCTGTGATCATTTTAAAACCTACTGTCTGCCGCATGAGGCTTTTAAGCGTCTACAACGGTAACAGAAGCGTTTGTACATCAAAGATTACCCCCCTTTAAGTTAGCGCGTTTGTGGCTGACCGTTTTGACAAACGGTACTATCCGCGGCAACCTTCTCTCCTGTCGCACAAACCTCACACTCGTACTCCCATATACCGCTCAACTTAAACGACCGAGTTTTTTTGTTTCTTAACCGAATAAAAAAAATGAATTATCCCACGCGCAATTGTTGCCTCGTTTCTACGATTTCATCCGTAATTGCGGTTTAGCAAAAAGGTGAAGTGTTTTCGAATAGGTGCTCCATGTCTCGTCGAAATTGTCGAGGGAGTTTGATAAACGCCCGTGCAAATGAATTGAAAAGTATGAGGAAAGTTAGTTGGCGTCAACCAATTGAGTATTTTCTCTTTGACACTTTGTATCAATGACATCCCGTCCCATCCCATCGGATATCTATAATCTCTCTCTCTCTCTCTCTCTCTCTCTCTCTCTCCCGTTCCCTCCTTGTCGTACTTCACCTGACCTCGACCCGTTGCAGAGTAATGGCATTTACGGTGGTGTCCTCCCATAGGTACAATCGTACCTATAACAACACCGAAATTCGCCACGCGCGCGCCTTCTCTCCTGACACTCCGACCGATCGGCACACTTTAGCGAATAATATCGACTCACGGGAGCCAGAGAAGTAGTTTCTGTGCATTTTCCATCCTCCTTCACTTGATCCCATTCTAGAGAACCCGTGAGAGGATCATCCATACCTTTCTCTTTTTATCATCGTTTTCTTTTAAAAAATAAACGGAAACAAATGAGAAAAAAAACAGTTTACTTCATCCTGGAGTGGAAGACAGGCTTTTCAAAGGCTTTGTCGTAAAAATTAAACAATTCCTTCCGCCGAAGAACACACAAATGATTATTGCAAAATCACACACCTTTCATTTCACTAACAACACGAAGCACTAAATGCAAATGTCGACAGAGAATCCAGGTATAATCCTCCTTTATTTAAATATTTAAATTTAAATTCCAGGGGATAAATCAAATTGCAGGTTTAACAGGTGCCCGGACTGCTATGCCGTCTGTAGTTTGCGCTCTGATGCTTCTCTCACGTTGATTTTTTCACGGTAAAACCCCGCGCTCTGCAAATCCACTGGACACGACACGAAACACACAAGTAGTATAACAGAAGCCCCGGAGCACGCGCTCTACCAAAAACTCGAGAGTACAAAGCTGCGACGGCGCGCAATGCTCTGTCTTTTCTGGCTTGTACACACAAATGCCAGTGCCTCGTAGTCTCTAGTTTCCCTCCCACCGTGCGGCAATGCGGATCGAGGCTAGAGACCCGCCAGTGGTAGGGCAGTAGAAAAAATACTCTTCTGCTCTCCCACACGTTGATCTCCACTACTATCGCTACGCCAATGAGTTAGTCCCCCCACTCGAGCCGCCTCTTACTTCTCAGCATTTTACTTTGTGTATCTTAGACACAAAGATGGGATGAATGCGGATGGCTTTAAATCTTTTATCCCCAGCATCGGTTTTAACACAGCAGGATGAGCGCTCAGCGTTTACTGTTTCTTCTTGTAGTCTGCAACCAAAGGTTTTCCCCTTCCTGCTTGCTCCTTTTATTCCCATTCCCACTATTGCACCTCCAACTCAACTGACGCTCTTTTCCCATTTCCCTTTGTGCGCTACGCCAATGCACGCGAATGAGAAACTCTGTGGCACCCCCCTCGAGTACTCAGGGACATTGGCGAATCGTAAAGGCTACTCTACAATAGAGAGGTATCCGGTCGCTCGGGAACGGCAACGGAACGGCAACGGGCTACATTGATACACAGTCGGGTCCTCGGTAGAAACCATGTAGCCCCAGAATGGGCCTTTTGTATTCTTCAACCACCCCTCCCCCCAATCCCACGGTCACAAATTTTTCTATGCCACTTTCATTTTTTCCTATTAGATTTCATTTTGTTTTGGTTTTGATCCAGCATAACTTTATGGTTGCATTGGAAGTACAATAATTCAGAGATAGGAAGATTGAATATATATTCATAACTAATTATTTATTTATTTATTTTTGTACAATGTTAAACCATTGAAAACAATGGCAAATTTATCAATCAATTATCTCATTATCATTGTTCAACGTAAATAATGGTTAATAAAATAAACATTTAAGCCCTACGGGGCTAGCGTACTGCGGTGGTGGGCAGGCTTAGCTTTGGGAAGCTAAGTAGCGCTGAGCGTGGTCACTAGATGGATGGGTGATCGCGCGGTAACACCGCAGGAAAGGAACATTGTTTGGAAAAACTGGAAAGAGCATTCGGGAAAAACAAATATGCGGAAAAAACGGGATGAAGGAATAAGAACCCGTAAAAACCAAAAGGTATACGGTGAAAATACAAAAAAATGAACATTAAATTGAATTTAGTAGAAAATATTCTTGGTTATTAACAATAGAAATTTGCAAGATTAAAAATTCCTGAAATTTCATTGTCATATTCATTTTTGTACATCACAAAATTCAGTAATAAAATATTCAGCATCATTTAATTTAATGTTCATTTTATTAACCATTATTTACATTGAACAATGATAATGAGATGATTGATTGATAAATTTGCGATTTTTTCCATTGGTTTAACATTGTGCATAAATAAATAAATAATTAGTGATGAACACAAATTCAGTCTTCCTATAGCTGAATTATTTTATTTCCAATAAAACCGAAGAATTATACTGGATAAAAATCAAAACAAAATGAGATATAATTGGAAAAAATGAAAGTGGCATCGGAAAATTTGGGACCGCGCGATTGGAGGAGGGAGAGGGGTTGAAGAGTACAAAAGACCCCATCCTGGGGCCACATGGTTTCTACCGAGGACCGGACAGGATATTAATGTCGCCCGTTGCCATTCCGTTCCCGGGCGACCGGATGTCTCTCTAGTGTAGAGTAGCCCTAAGGGACACTGGGGGAACTTTATACTGGACGTTTTCAAGCCCTATTACACCATCTTGAAGGGAGTAGTGTACTTTAACCACTTTTGGACTTGTATGGTACATTTCATCCAATTCCCAGATGAAAACTTGGGGCAAGTGGATACTTGCCTGGCATTCCTCGTTTTCACCGATCGTATTTCAAACACCTCGATCTCATTACCTTCTGGATGATTTTTAAAACCACTTTTTCTCTTGTTCATTTCACGGTGTAGAAACTGTGATTCGACACAGTGACAGAGTTCTCTCTTGCGGTTGGACGGATTGGCAAAATGCGCGAGAGGGAGTGAGAGATTCAGGTGAAAATGAAGTTTTTGTGTTTTGTTTCAATCGGCTTTATTTCAATCGTTTCTATAATGTTTCAACCAAGTAATATGAGGGGAGGATTCATCAGGGCGTGGGGAAGGGGTCGGTTCGGCGAAAGGTTAGTCTTTACAAAAACTATAACTAAATTTTTATTTTATGCTTGTTTACTTTATTTTTTATTCTTTTATATATATATATATATGGATATATTGGAATATATATCGATATATATATATAGATATATAATATTTTTATACACCATGCAAAAGCACTGATTGCAAGGGTTATCGGTAAGTTGCTCCATTCTAACGAGAATACTGATGCGTAAGTATTATTTTTATTGTTAACTTTGTGGAAGGTATGAGGAAATTGAAAGCGGAAATAAGGGCAGGGCCTTCACACTCGAAGAGTTATACCTTCTTTCACTTTTTCTACTAATGAATAAGTCTCTTTGATTTTTTTTTTTGGAACTGAAACTTCCGACAAGCCTCGAAATCCATTGCTCATCCATGGCAGTATCTATATATAACTATACACCTACAATAGTTAACAAGACAAGTCCTCGAACCGAGTAATACCGGATCGTTTTTTTCGAAATGTTTTTTTTTCTTTCATTTGCTTTAGTAGATTAATCCCAACGATTAAGGTAATCTTAAATAGCGGTTTATTTTATTTCTGTGTCACGAATGGGCAGGAGCACAATTTTATCCGATCGTGAATTTACGTTTGATAATCCTGCAATTTAATTATTTTCAAATATCTTTGCTTTTTTATTCTGGGCCCACTGAGCAGCGCCAGAGGAGTGATGACGTTACATTTCTCTTATTTAAGCTAATGCACCTTACGTCAATTTAATTTTCAGTTATGATGTAAACAACTGTACATTTTTAAAAAATTGAAAAAATCTCATATAGATTGGTTTTTCTCTCGTTTAAATGAAATAAAAAAACTTATATCGGAACTTCCCGGGCACCCTGTATAGCTGGGCACATTATTGCTATAACAATTGTTCCGTCACGTATAGCAGTTTTTTTCATCTACGTTTCGTTAATTAGTGCGTAATAAATATAAAAAAAACATCAATTGGCATTCGGATAATTATGCTTTACTGCAGTTACGTAATTGCATGTTTGTTTTTTATTAATTTTTTTTTACACAATAGATTCATGGGAAGATCTCGAGTCATTCGAGACTCCAAGGACACTCCATTCTTATAATTTCATACTCTTTGTTCACAAAAACAAAAACCCAACAAACTACAGAATTTCTTCTGTACTTAATTTCATTTTCTATGTAATTTTCTCTTTATGTTACCAAGAAGAACGGGGTGTGGGACTACAAAAAAGTGGGTCTCAAATGGAATGTCTGAGAGAACTATAATCCGAAAAAAGAGGTAATAGTAATAATTCTGTCTATCGGTGGCGCCAAGAAAAATAAGCTCGGTTAAAGGAAGAGGGAAAACATCACAAGCAGCACGTGCGCTTATCCAACGGCTCAATATAAACATATACATTTGTTTATGACTATAATGAGAGAAAGATGAGCCCTAGAAATATTTTTTTTGTTATCTATAGAGAATTATACAGTGAATATGTTGTCAGATACTCTATCTGGCATCAATCATAGATAACAACTGAAAAGTATTGTTTAAGACTGTAGTTATTTCACAGGAAGAACAGAATGAGACTGGAAGGCTGTCATCACTAAATCCCAAACATTATTTTTTCATTCATTTCACTTGCAATTTCCCTACAATGGCTGCAATTTGGACTTGGTGACTTATCGCAGTTTCATCGAATCAGGAAATATGAATTCTATCATTGTTATTAGTTCTTCTTTCTCTTTCTTTCAATCTGCCCGTCATTAATCTCTTTCTCCTCATTCATCCATTGTTTTATGGCAATGCAAAGTATAAAAGCATTATGGATTGAGGCCTTGACGCTTCTCTTCCTCCAGCATGGCGTCCAACTCGTCGGTTAGATTGGCAAGCATATTGCCAATGTCGTTTAGTACATCTGCCGGCTCATTGCCATTTGGTGGACGATGCTGATGGGATACCACGTGCCCACTGAGGTTTGGAGAGTTATTACCGTATTCCTGAACTCGTGCTGCACGTTGTTTTATCGTCCCTGCGTTTTCGTTTGCAAAGGGTAGGGAATCCGACTCTGTGCTTGAGCTTGACTGCAAAGATAAAAGAAAAATATCAACTTCTAGTCCATTAATTTCAAATATTAATTTCTATTCATCCTCATGTCCAAGGTAGTGTGGTCTCCATTCTGATTTGAAAATTGGACAATGGGATGTGTTTCGTGTTTCAGGTGAAAAAGAGATCGAGAGGAGAACAATTACATGTTTAATATAAAATTTATTGACCGCTCGACACTTCTCTGAATATTGTTGGAGGAAAATTGAAATTTCATAAATAGTTGACTAGTAGTTATCAGGAGAGTGACATTGAAATCCACTAAAAATCATGAAATTTCACATTTCACACAAAATTCAATTTGATTCTAAATTTTTGAGCAGTAGAAAAATGAGAATGAATATTCAGTGTCAAAATATTAAATTTTTAATTAAATGAAAATTCAAGAATATAGGCATCTGAGCTTTTTTGATTTCTATCAATTTTCAGAGATTCCTTAAAAATTTCAGTCGAAATATAATGCGATAAAAAATGTCAAGATGTGTACTGGAAATTTCAGCCAAAAATTTTGAACAGGGAAAATTGAACTCCAATAATAACAGGCAAAATGAAAACAAAATTAGTGAAACAAAAAAGTATTCATGAAAAAATTTCATATTATGAGCAAAAACGCGATGATAAAATGTCAAAATTAATTGGCAAAAATTACAGTGACCATTTTCCCTGCTAAAATTGAAAAAAAAGACATGAAGAAGAGCGACATTTGAATCGACCAGTAACGCTACATCTCTCTATATAATAAAAAAATAAGCCCAAAAATTCAGGCGATGCTCAAAATTCAGGCGACGCTTGATCCGACCCTGTGGCGACACTGATGAGGCCCTGGGGCGACACAGATGTGGTCCTGGGGCCGACCTGACGTGATCCGAGTCGACCCGACGTGACCCGAGCTGACGTGACCCCAACCGACCTGACGTGACCTGAGTGACTCAAGCCAACCCAATCCTGACAGGTCACAGGGTGATTTTATATATATTTATCTATATAATAAAAAAATAAGGGCAAAATTTAAGACAATTCAGGCGACGCAAAAATTCAGGCGACGCCAAAATTCAGGCGACGCCTAAAGGTGGGGGGGTGCCCAAGGTCGGGGGGGTTAGAAGGGAGGAGGGTGTCCCAGGGTCAAACGCGGTGGGGGGCTGACAGTTGGATTGGGGGGGAGCGAGCGAAGCGAGCGGGGGGAGGGGCGAAGCCCCCCGGGGTTGGCGAGCGAAGCGAGCAGGGCGCGAAGCCCCCTAGTGGAAAATATTTCAATATGTTACCCTTCTCAATATACAGAACAATAGCACAGTTTTATCGGACCATTTCCAATAAAAAATACGTCCTATTGAATTATAATCTCTCAATTAATATTTAAAACCTGTTCATTGTGAAACTAAATTATTGAGAAAAATCAATTTCATGTAGAAAATAGTCTTTTATTCTTCTGAGACAAGGTAAATAGTAATCGGTCTGTACCTATTGCACCGCCAAGTAAGTGTTTTCGCTGGTTAAAAAAAATAGGATTACGTCAAATTGTAATCTAAGACATAGTGCTTTTCGACATAAGGTCTAAAAAAATTATCTGGGCAATATGAGATAACAGTCCGAGCCGAAGGTGAGCGTTGCAATCATATGAGCTACAAAAGTTTTAGGACGTATGTCCTGGACTATGTGACTACGCACCCGCAAATCGCTGCCTTACGGCCGGAATGACAAATAGTATATTTCGTCACTAGGCCGAAAAAAACTTTTCTGGCGAATATGAGTTTGCAGCCCGAGCCGAAGGCGAGCAATCATATGAGCTAGAAAAGTTTTTTTTGGGCGTATGACGAACAGTATTTTTTGTTATGATGGCCGTAGGCAGAGATTCATGGACGCGGAGCGGAGCGTCCGTGAAACGCTGCCTCACAGCCGGAATGACAAAAACATATAATTGGAGGGCATTTTATGAAAAACTCAGACATACTATTGATGTTGATTATAGAAAATCCAATGACAAATTTGATAATTAAGATTTATTCTAAATTCCTCATGGACTATTGCATGAATAATCACATTTTTTTTCATTGCAACTGAAACAAATTAATCATTTAAAAAAATCATATTAATAACAAGATTCGACAAAATTGGGACGTCTTTGAACTCAAAAACGAGACTGACTGGATTTTATAGATATTTGGATGCTGATTTTTAATTTCTTGAAGGGTTTCATTGAAGGGTTAAAAAGTTTTACCAATATTACAATTATTGGGAATTAAATATAAATCGATTCAGATCAATGTCACTAAATAAAAAGGCCATCAAGTTTATCTCCGAGTGTTTCAACAGATAATAGATACATGAGGAAAATAAATTTGCTCCTGATTGTTATTTTTTTTAACAAATACGTATATCGAATGCCCATCAAGCCTATCAAAATCCCTGAATAAAGATCACCAGAGTGCTCTTTGAATCAAAACATAATAACTGGAAGAAGCTAGTTAACAGACAGGTCGTTTTTAACCAATTAAATCGCGTGCTAAATGGAAAAAGTTCGTATTGACCATTTTGGGATTTTTAGGTCAATGAAGTGAAAAAACGTCGTCTGAACCTAATCTAGGGAACATAAAATCTGGACGATTTGGGCTCTCTAGAATTATTTTAACCCAACTTTTGAGGACAATTTTTTTTGGCACATACGACCTTTTCCACAAATTTTTCTCCAACAGAAATTTTTCTAGAATAATGTTTATTTCTTTAAAAGGGCAACCGAATATCAGAAAAATGAAGAAAAAACATGGAAAAGATTTTTTTTCATTTTTACACTATTGGAGAAATCCTTGTGGAAAAAGGTCGTGTGCGTCAAAAAAAAAATTGTCCTCAAAAGTGGGGTCAAAATGACTCTGCAGAGCACAAATCGTCCAAATTTCAAGTTCCCTAGATTATATTTATACGATTTTTTTCCACTGCGCTGGCCTAAAAATCCCAAAATGGTCAATACGACTTTTTTCCATTTAGCACGCGAAATCATGAGAATATGCCAATTTGTATAATAATCCATATTGTTTATGTCGCGCCGTGCAATAAGTCGAGTTTATCGCACGCTGCGCTTCTACGCTGCGCTTCTGCACGACTTGACATAAAATATTATAGAGCACTCGGTAATAAATTTCGTTTTTAACAAATGTGTGTACAGACCTCGCCTTCGGCTCGGCCTGTAAACTACACATTCGTTGAAAACGAAATTTGTGCCCTTGTACTCTAATGTACTATTGTGTTGTGTGCAGATATGGCTCCAAAGAAGAAAAATGGATCAAATAAAATAAAATGGTGATGCCAATAAGAAGGAGCCTACCCAGCCATGCAGCGTGAAAATGAGCCTCGGTAATTTGAAGTTGAAAGAGAAATATTTCAATGCTATTCAAAATGACGTTAATCATATCATTTGTATTGATTTTGGGGGCAATCATCAACGAGGGCGCTATTCAACAGCCAAGAAATTTAATGCTGAATTGGATTATTTGTGGACCGGAGAAGTATTTGGATAAAAATCGTGATGAAAAAGAAGACAACAGTACTGACGAATGGAATGAATGATCCTCCTATAATAGAGTATTGGGTATCCAAATTTGAGCCCGTCTTTCAGGCTTTTGTGGGTACTTAATTTCATTTTCTCGAGTCTAACGAAAATTACGGAATACAAAAACCTACAAAATGGAAATCGCGCAATAAAGGAAGTATAGCTAAGGGAATTTTCAAAGACTGTTTAATTTTAGCGAGGTCTCGCCTTAAAAAGTGATCAGTCTGTCAACTTTTCAACAAAAAAACGTACAGCGGAAACATTTGTCTACAAAATTAGGATGCTAAGATCTCTTTAGCGGACCAGGTTGGAACTCTCAGTGTTTTTGCAGTTTGGATATTGCTGGAAATGAGTATTTGTCAAACATTTCCAGCATCTTGATATGCAAGAATTCCGTTGAAAAGTAGAATGCTGAATTTAGAATTTTCCATAGAAAAACCGCAAAAACAGTGGATTCCCAGTCTCATCCCACGGGAAGATGTTAACATACCACTTTTCTAAGCAAATTTGAGATCAAATTCCAGGACAATGTTTTTTGCCAACAGAAGAATTCCTAACAATTTAAGTACTTGGAGAAAACAAGCTTCAAATTTTTTAATTCCAGAAAGTTATCGAAATTCCCTGACTTTTCCCTGACATTTCGAGACCAATCAAATTTCCTGACAATTCCCGGTTTTCGAGATTTGCCTGACGGCTGGACACCCTGGTTCACTAAGAACGATGATACAAAAAGGGAAGTTTGGAATAAAATCATCGAAATTCCGAGGTAGTTTATTAGCGATTTTGATCATGGGATTCCGACTAATGGTGTGGCTGTGACAACCAAATGCAGACGTAGAAACGAGACCCACTTCTAGAGCGGGAGTACGACATTGATAGCTACAATTACTTTGCTGGATGCGATCCCGGAAAACATAACATTTATGGCGGAGTCTCAGGGATGAAAACGTCATTCAATGCAGAGGGTCAGCAGTCTGAAGAGGTTCAAATCCTGCAAACAGCCAAGTCCCTTCATCATCGTGCTGGATTCTATCGTCGTGAGAAGAAACGAGAAGCAAAGCAGATACTTATTTTATCGACAAATCATACAATTTAACAAATTTAACATTTTGACTTTTCATAATCATTTTTCAAGGAGATATGATCTGGATATGAGACGCTTACTGAATAAATATCGTACAAAGGAGGGGGCCTTGCAGCTGGATGATCCAACGCATTACATGAGCATTGCAAAATATAAATTGTAATTTTTAACTTCTAGACCCGAAGGGAGGAAATTATTGTAATGACTTCGAAAATCTAATGTGGAAACTTCATGTTTTCTCACGGTTCATGGCCCCTAGAAACTCCCTTGACCCTTTTTAAAAGCCGGTCTGAATGTATGGATGTGCAGGTATGTGTGCACCCAAAATTTTGTGCTATAATTGAATTTTTTTTTCAATCGGCGCCCTTTCATGGAATTTAGAACTAATTAGATTGCCATCACAATCGTCTCGGCGGTTTTTCATTTATTCATAAAAATCCTGTGAAAAAACGCTAAAAATTGACGTTTGGTCACCAAAGGGTCAATTTTTTCATGCGAGATAATGTGCTTTGAATTTTTTCAATTATACGTGATGAGTCTTCATTTAATGCGCACGTAATGAAACGTTACAAGACAATGATTCGGCGGTTCCCCCAGTTTTTTAATGAACAAACAAAACATTGAAATAATGTTTTTTTACAAATGAGATGATTCCTTTCTGGACAATAATATGATTTTATTTTTCCAACATCCCGACCCGAAAGGAGGAAATATTTGTCACAACTCCGAAAATCGAAAATTGATTAATAAATAAACTACTGAAATGTTATTTTCTTATAAATGAAATATTTCCTTCATGAGAAAGAATGTGTATGTGTATGTGCGGCTGAAATTTTGTATTACGAATTGGCTCGAAAAAAGCGATGCAATTTGATTTTTTTTCAATCAATGTATTCTATGGGACTAGAACTTGATTAGATCATGAAAACGATCGTCTCAGCGTTTTTTCAGTTTTTCGCACGAAACATGTCAAGTCATGTGATTTGAATTTTTTTTCCAATGGATAAATCTGGATGTAATGTACAAATGATAAAATCATTTGTAATATGAAGTGGAGACCATTGTTTATTCTATACATGTGGTTTTTGATATTTTACATGCAGTTTCTAAATAGATTAAATAATTCGTTAATGAAATTTTATTCAATTCTCTGATTTTTACAGAGGATTGTATACAAATTGATTAAATGGATTAAATGGAGAATCATTTCAGCGGGAGGGGTCATTAAGAAATTGAAATTACTTAGGAGGAATTGGTCGGGAAGTTATCGGTTTGACCCGTAATGGGTTACACCCACCCCTACCAGTCCTCTCTAACCCGATAGCGAGCGAAGCGAATCACCAGGCTCTGACTTTTCTTTATGATGATGCAGCCAGTCAAAACGAGGAGGAGTGTCCTGAGGTTGAACATGGACAAATGCATCGCTATAATATGAACAATTGTCAGCATTGCCAAGATGCTTAATTATGGAAATGAGAGGAAGAAGAAGAGAAACAAGCAGCGCGACAGAAGCCATTTGACAGATTACGTATGACTGCTACTCTCCACGTATTGTTTTTCTCGTATCTTCATTTCGACCAATTTCATTAGTAGTAGCCTTTCAAATGAATCCCAATGTATGTTTTAAAAGAATGAAGGCATAAGGATTACCATTTTTCGAAAATATTAAGGCCAATCTCACTCCTACTTCATGACAAATAATGAATTTTTTTTCTCAAGAGTTCTGGGTGAATTTTTCCATCTCAAGAACCATCAAATATATCGACCTACAATTTCATATAGGAATGTTCTTTGACAATCCTAACTAGAACCCAAAGTTTCAAAAGTTTTCCCTGTAATTCACCGATGTCATAGTGCGCAAAGGTGAATTCGGACTCAATAATTCTCGAGTTATGGGGACAGTTCTGGACATATGAACACACATGTGCACACGCATACCTACACACATACAGACATTTTTTAAAAACATCATTTCTTCTCGTTTCATGACATTTCCAGGCATTTCCAACCAAAATTAAGAAATGGAAAAAAATCACGATTCCAAAGCTTCCATACGGAAGCAAAAGAAGCCATTTCTTGCTACTAGCAGCATTAATATTAGTAAAAAAAAGTTAAAGCACATCGTCGTTATTCTATTGATCAAATTCTCAAATATCCTGAGAGAAGTGATGATGTAGCAATTGTTAAGGTTGATGAGTTTAGAACAACTATGTTGTGTAGTAGATGTAATCTGATACATGGCGTTAAGCGACTCCCCAAGCGATACGGAGTTTGACAACATGGTGATATTACTTGGAACAGCAATGTCCACGCTGGACGTAACATTTTGCATTGGGCTTTAATCAAGAGCAAGTTCACTCGTTGTACAGACTTGCCAGTACCAAAAAAATTCAGTAGGAAAAATAAACAACTCATTAAAAGAAGTAAGATCCCAAGGCAATCCAATGTGTCGCGTCGGAATATTCTGCTATAAAAGCCACCAAGTTTATCTCTGAGTGAATCAACAGATTAGAGGTGCATAAGGAGGATAAACTTGGCCTTGAACAGTGGAATATTCAATAATATCGTTTATACAAATTATTTCTAAAGATTACGTGAAACATATTTAAAGCACACTAGAGCACCGATAGGCAATATTGTCACGCTTGCGCCTTCGGAAAAAATTTCGGAGTCTGGAATGATTTACATCGGTTTGTGATGATTTAGTCTGTACGAATAGAGCGATAACAATGTCGACAACGAACAAATGTTCACATGAATATACGAGACTTTCCAAGCCACCCAAATGAAATTATTCAATGCAATAATAAGAAACGTTTTTAATGAGAAGAAGAAAAATTCTCCTTAATCACCTTAAAACTGGCGTCAGAACCGTTACGATGTTGTAGAGCGAGAGTGGCAATAAGTTCGTGTTCCTCATTGACATTGGCACTAACACTGCCCCAGGAACGTGACATGGATGAGGCAGGTCTGTGAAATTGTGGTGTCGATGGTGCAGCTGATGGTGCAGGGGCCGGTGGTGGTGGATGATGAAGTGAATGATGATGAATATGATGCTCATCACAGGCAGTCGGTACTGGTCCACTACAGTCGATAACAACATCACCATTACCACCATTACCACCAACAACATTACCCAAATCCCTGGAGCTCTGCCTCCTCGGTGGTGATGGTGGTCGTCGTTTTGGAAGATGTGGACTACTCTCCAAACCATAGGTCAATTGATACTTGTTATCAAAATCCCTGGGCAGCGATTTGAATTGACCCTGGGTTGCAGTTACCTGTTCCATAAACTGATTTTTATTATAATATACACTGAGTGCAGCTCATAATTCTAATTCCTATAATACTCAAATGAACAATACTTAAAAACATTCCATTAATGGGTTGTAAAACTCTAATGGATTCAACTCGATTTTCTTTTCTCCCTTGCTAATATCTCAAATAAATTTTCTATTCGTAGGAACTTCCTGATAGATTTAATGACTCTTAAATACCTGTGAGAATCATTACGTCAGGATATTTTCTAATGGAGGAGAAACACCTGAATAACTCAGTGACTCATAAATCCAGTAATTCTAGTTTTATAACAACCCATTGGGATTATAGGTCCGAGATTAGTGCCTCTGAGATTGCAATACCATCAATCTATCAAAAATTCTCCCAATTTCCTCGTCTCACCTACGAAAAAATCGTGAAGATATGCTCTATAGGACGTTCTTATAGGATGTTTCTGTAGGGAATTTTATAGGTTTAGCGCATATTGCATATAGAAACTCAAATAGAAATTAAGACTTGGAAACTTGTCCGAATTCCACAAGACTAAATGAGCGTGAAGATACGATGGTTTATATTAGATAATCGGAAATGTCAAAACTAGAATTCAATTATATTAATCATGATAATTACAAGTCCCATGTCCCCACGCTTACGCCCTTACTCTCATGCATGTTTGACTCATGCCCCTACGCTCATCTCGTGATTTGAACGATATGGAAATGTTATATTCCAACTAATTACGACGTATCTTATTTTGTAATAAAACAACATTAAAGCATATCTCAAGGCACAGAATTATGTTTCAATTGGACAGCCTAGTCAAACGAGCATGGCATCAAACCCATTTCCTTTGTGTCTATTCTTTTAGTTGCCGATATTTCAATGAAATATTAAGATATTACCGCATGTTTATTGAATTTTTAATTATCCGAAACGTTAGTCGAGGAATTTTTAATCCTACTTTACGATTAGGATGGAGATATCAACAATTCAAAATTGTCAGTTGCGGCTTAAGAATTCAATGCTTAGAAGAAGCGTAATTTCTATACATAAACTGTATTTATAAATTATTTGAATATTATATATGGCGCCATAGGATTCCACGTACGATCACCCTACAACAATGTCCTACAGAAGATATACGATTTTTTTATACATGCTCCCTCTCCACGAATTTAAGGCCCGGGTAGATTATTTTTCGAACGTGATATTGGTTGTTTTTTTTATTTTGATAATCTAAAATGATCTCCAGTTGCCATTCAGTTTTACGTTGCCCTAGAGTCTTCAAAAATTATGATTGTACAATCAAAAAAACGTTGAAAACAGCTGAACATTTTCAAAGAGTGTTTTTGCATAATAATATTTATGGAATAATATATTTGGAAAATAAACCCAATAGGGACGAAATTGCAAGTTAATAATTTAATGTATCTAATGGCTGTTAGGTCGTCATTTGTCACAACAGTCAATGGCTGTTAGATCGTTAGTTACCATGATAAATTACCCATTCACTGTTTTCTCTCTATCGGACTTATTTCTTAATCTTTATTAAAAACGCTCTTTGAAAATGTTGTTTTTTTTTTACTTTTTTTGATTGTACAACCATAATTTTTAGGGACTCCTGTATGATGTAAAATCCAATGGAAATTGTAATTTATTCGACATTACGGAGATGAAAAAACAATCGCGATAACGTTCGAAAGATAATCCGACCCGGGCCTTAATTCATCTTAATTGTATTTTACCTTGGCAACGGGTCGTGGTCTGACAAGACAGTGCCTCGGTCGTGGAAGTGTACCACCGCCAGCCTCAATCATGGAAGAGACCTCATTCGTGGGTGTCACGTCGCCGTCCTCGAAACACCTCGGACGCCATCCAAGTGGGTCGATGTGTTGCACTGGAGCTGGCGACGGTGGATATCCAAGAGGAGCGTCTTCCAGACTTTCAAGTGATTTACCACGTGGTCCCCTGCCCACAGTGCAGTAATCCATACCACCAGGCAATGCAGCATACATACTTCTCCACGCTGAGGAGGATTCATTTCCAGCTCTTTGAAATGACCTAAGTACAGGTGATGAACAATCCTCATCGGGTGATGGTAGATCAGGCCCACCCCTCTGTATCACAACGTCCTGTGTATGTCCAGGATGGGGTGGAAGTCTCGTCAAATCCAGAGGCTGAACCCTCTTACCCGATCTTATATCCTTAACACGTTTTATCGCCAATAAAAGTTTTTTCTGATGACCCAAACGAACAATTCCAATGTCCTCAAGGTCCTCCCATGTGAGAGTCGTAACATCCTCAACAGATCTCATACCCTGCTGATGAAGTGCACCAAGGTACTCCTCAAGACGCAATAATCTCAGCCACTCCTCCAGGGAGCCTGGTACATGCTCCGGCAAACCATCACCTACGTTAAGATTGTCGATCTCCGCTTTAAGTCGTTTCCTGTGATTTGGTTTTTTGATACCTTGTGGAATAACAAAAATAACATTAACATTACAATGAGATTTTATCTTATTGCAGGTATATCTTATGGAGTTATAAACCCCTTGCGTAATTTTACTCGGTAATTTGTGGGGTTAAAAAATCTTGGTGGGAGGAAATTTAATGCAATGGGTATTAGGGAACTGAGATCGCTAGGATTTTATGCTCAATTCAGTAGAGGTAGATGACGTTGGGGACTTGTGCTATTTGTGTCATCACGATTTTCCGTTTGAAAACCATTATAAATAAATTGTTTTTTTCTTTATCGATTTATGGAAAGGACTGTGCGATGAAATTCCACTGATACTTTCTCTTATTCTACACTTTCAATTGAATAGAATAAAATTCTTCAATTAGAGTTGTAACGTTACTGAAATCTACTCCACTGAAAGTCCCCCCCCCCCCCCNAAGACACTCAATTACCTATTGCCGTGAGGTCTTCTGGGGTCATTCGAGTAATGGTAGCGAGATCGTATCCAGCCGAGGCGAATAGAGGAAAATACTCCTCAAACTGTAGCTCAGTTAGCCATGCATGCACAACGTCAAGGTCAGGTGGCCTGTCTGGATGACTGCTGAGTGAACTGATTGAGCATCTGGGCGATGATGCAAGGGCACCAGGTCCACGTGGTCCGAGATGATAACCCGAGGCCCTTCCCGAGTCAAGTGATGCTGTTGAGTGTCTCGAGCCAGATCCCGAGCCGGAACTTCCTGGGCTGTCCCTGCCCGGGCTCTGTGTCATATCAATACCTGAGGAGAAACCATAAATCATGAATAAGGAATGGAGAACAATGGGAGAGTAACACCTTTTACGATGTTGCCATCGTAGACTAAACAGTTATTTCGACATTGGTTATATTAGAATGGAATTTTAGCCTTCGGTCTTACCTTGATCCTCGGTGTGGGCATATTTGCCAACGACTGGTGGGAATGCAAATCCAGGATGCGTGTAAATCGGTCCTGGACTCTTTCCCGCTGGCATTCCATAGGACCCGTCGTCACCAGGTCCGCCCCCGCCGCCGCCGCTTGACAGGAAACCACCGTCCTCGCTGCTTGCGTATCCCGCCGATCCGAAGGACGAGCCTGAGTGTCGGAATACATCGGGCACAGCCGGTGGTGCCACCTTCTTCACCTGGGTCACTGTTTTCGACGGCCGGCTCATGCCACCAACTGTTTAAAATAACATGCACGCAGAATTAGTATCACATTACTTGGAATAATTATTATTTTAATGAGTTGCAGGTATTCAGTTGAATTTGAATTATCTATGATTTATTGGTTTTCAAGTTTTACGATGTGGGGCAGGGCTAGGGTGAATCCCCCCACTTTCACCGACACTCACTCGCTTTTGAATATTCCTCAAAAATGTTTTCTCAACGCCAAACCAATTGCGCTGTATAGATTTAAAGCACCGACTTGAGTGACACAAATTTGCGTACAAATTGAATACAATTTTGTCATCATTATCGCCTGCAAAGAGGTAAATTATACGGTTTTGGAGAACGACGCCGAGTGAGGAGTTGCACGTGAAAACGCCTTTGTCCCGTCTACGTACGAGGCAGAGAGGAACGAGTCGAAATCCCCTTCGATGGAGGTTAAAAAAGGATAAATAGAAATGAGATAAAAAAAATATATATGTATAAATATATATGCAAGAAGTTGCACGCACGCCTCTTCCACTGTCTCCTCGTGTGTATATCTCCTTCATCACCCCCTGTTGCTTACGACAATGGACGAAAGAAGGATAGGTGGAAGTTTGTGTAGCGTCTTGGGAGGGAAGGTGGGAAAAGGATCCCTCCGGTGTTCACGATGCAAAGAGGAGGACGTTGGTTACACGTTTCTGGCTTGAAACAGGTTCTCATCGGCGTAGGACGGCTCTTAAATTTTGTATATATATAAAAGGCTTCGAACCAGTTCGAACCGAAAATGTCGTGCAGACACGGAGAAAGGTATAACCACTGGCTGGAGGGATTTTATCGTGCAACTCATTTACTTTTAAAACATGGACGAGTTCATGGGTTCACCACATGTGGAAAATAAATTTTCCTCTAGGTTTATTTTTCTTTCTTCGCTTTGTGAGACTTTTGCCCCAATGTTGAGACTTTTTAATGTGTTCAACACAACAGGGGGGGGGGGGGG